GAGCATTAGGTGTAGAGGGATGTACAGGAGAATGTTAGGTAAAACGAGAGAAACATTCTACCTGAATGCGTGCCACCAACAGTTCCCAGTCAGCCAAGATGATTTCCAACGCATGTAAGAATGTTTAGGAAGCAAACACACGTGTAATGACCAGCAACTGCAGAAAGAACAAAAGTTACTTTTCAAGATGCAGTATGTACTAGCACAGTCAAGAGTTGCATGTCAGTTGCAAGATGTCTGCCATATAGGGTCAGGTGTGAAATTCGAAGTCAGAAAATGGTATCTACGGGTAGAAAAACTCGCTTACAAACTAACTTGGCGTTAACAAAATAGTCAGCTTAATCTCAACCTGGATCTCTCGCCTATAATGTGCCTAAGCTGAAACTAACTTGGATGGCTTGATTACCATTCCGACTGTAAGATGAGGCGATCTTTGGGAAGCACAGTAAGATGAAATGCAGGATGCAACAGCATGGCTGAGTGGTAATATGAGCCCAAAGAACGACTCAGTAGCAAGCAATGGTTTCTCATCGACTGAAAACAATATGGACTTTTACGGTGCTTGATATAGTTTGGCATACAGTTTACTTGGTTGCCTAAGTAGTCTCCCGGATTGGGTTTTCCTTTGTGGCCTGCCATACGAAATTCGGCTTTTGGCTTCCAAAACAACACATGAGGCTGAAAAAAACGAAAGTATTGAAAACCATGGCAAGCAAACCTTGTCTTGCAAATATGACAAATCGATGGGTTGTGTTGCAACTGTTTTATACGAGATGTTTGATAAGGTTTTTGTTTAGACCCATCTCGTTGAGGTAGCTTCAGGGTTTTGTCCTGACCGTGTTGCTTAGCCATCCAGTAGCCGTAACAGATCTCACCTTTCCAACCAAAGTTCTGACTGCCTCGCAAAAGACTGACGCTATGTCATATCTGTGGCGTTGCATTATCCATTATGAGGGGAAAACTTCGTGTTATTTGACCACTTTCATTGCTTGAGGTGGACTTCGGGATTGTTAAGCCAAAATTACCCATCGCACGCTGTCCGCAAACACAGCACCTGCTTCTCATCTCTCTGGGTAGTCGCTGGTGAAGTTGAGCATAACCAGGAATCTTCAGGTCACTGATTGACATGCGTTCTCAAGATGACCCCTATTACGATAGGCATCATGTCACGTGAACAAGGTCATCTCGTCTCCCATAAAACGTAAGGAGTGCGGGTATGAAGTACGGTTGAATATGTTCATCAAACCTTTTACCTCTGGTCCTATCCGGTTAAGGGTAAAACTAACTAACATTCTGTGCTCTCCGCGCCGCAGTTACCCTCAATGAATGAATATATTCCAAGCAACCCGCGATATATCTGATACTATTTTCTCCTCTGAATTGCATACTGTTGATGTCGAACAATCAGGTAACGCATGTGAATAGATAATGTGCTGTCCACCGTGGAGATGTGAACCTAGGAGGTGAATCATCACGCTGCAGGTTTCCGTAGACCACATTAAAATTCCCCTACTGAATAGAACGTTTTTCTCATCACTATTATTCTAACAAATGTTTAGCAATAGGACTGACAGATGGAGGTCAAGATGAACTTCGGTTTATATGCAGCCGATCAAGATTTTCTGTGTGAACTCTCCAATAACACTCACTATAAAGCGTAGGACCAACCCATTGGTTAATTTAAGAAACATGAACTTTAAAACTGTAGAATAGTATGGGGATTGAACAGACTGGAGAGTTTAACGACGTTTTGAACAACAGTCAGTCATCAAATAAAAAAGTCGTATAGCGCGTTAAAGAGCTGGGTGATTTGATGAATTTCTTTGTAAAATAACGGAGCTAAATGACTCTTTGAGAGATTCATTGCTTTGAGAAGCCAATCGTTCTGAGTGGAGATTTTAGCCTTTTAACCCATGCTGTAAAAAACTCATGGCTCACAGCATTATTAACCAGCCACTTAAAACCTCTTTATTAAAAAGTTTGACTCCGTGGATTGTAGCCATTGTTCTCCACCAATTCCCTCCCCAATCGCTGACAAAATGATCACTCCGCTCGTCAAACAGACAAAAACTACTTCCATTGCTCACACTGTGAATGACGATGATGGCCAGCCACACGTGACTGATTTTCAAAGTACCCAGTACAACCTGATGTGTATCAAAATTCGCTCCGAGTAGCTCCATGTGTACATGAGCAAGGTCCTATCTTTGGATTTTCGCACGTTATTAAAATGTACTTTTACTCATTTTAAAGGCTTCTGAGACCTGTAATTGCGTTTGGAAACAAAACGTCTTGTCTGATACTGAACATAGCACCTCAAGCGCAACCACGCAATGAATGACGGTTCCATCAAGAGACTACACGTGTTAGGCAGCGGCTATTAATCTGAAAAAGTCTCGCTTATCATAAATTCAGTCAATCTACCTCTTATCCGTGAAAAAAATTAACTATCAAAGTTTTATCTCGACGAAACCTCATACTCATGCTATCAAACAATATCACCGACAACTAAATCGAAATAACCGAAATCCGTTTTTCTGAAGAAATAGCAACGCTTTCCCCCTGTAGAAGTGATTTTTCCACTCCAAACAATTTATCAACTTCATTTTGCTCCCAAATATTTTGAAAACACATGAAACGCATGCAGCTTGGTATTTGAAGTGCTTTCCACATCTATCACCCAGGACGAACAAATGGCTAGAGGAGCCACAAAGTCTGTGGTGAGAAGGAAGCCTTAGGCCGCATTTACCTACAGAACGACTGTCGTTTACTTCTCTATGGCAAACGATTTTCACCTCCATAGCTTCTGAGGCAGCACCATAAGCCCGAGAAAAGCAGAATTGAGACCGTTACGGTGCAAAGAGACAACGACCAGCAGATAACTGCAGTTCATCCTGTCTAAAACGGTCACCTCACATGACCGGTGGCTGCTATTTTTATCGCTCTACATTAGGTGATTTCCAGTCGGTCCTGTTAACAGTTGTACAGAAACGTCCCACCCCACCATCGGTGGTCAGCCGTACATTAGGGTAACTCAAAGTGGACTACCGGATTTCCCGATGAGTCGTGTTTAAGCCAACAAACTTTTGTGCCACGCAGAACGAAATAGAATATTCAGCAAATTGTACCATTCGAAATGCAACCCGAAAAGGTTAGCGTGGTATCTCATTTAAGGTCCAAGCTGTAACGGTTCAGCCCAATTACTGTCAACTGTTGTGATTGCTGCGGCAACTTGCAAATATAGATTCACGTGTTATGTTGACGAAAAGACTGTCGTCTTTGAGCAGGATTCCAACCCGTGCTTTCCCGCTCACCGGACGGGAGTCATACCAGGTGACCTGGAACCGATGCTTACCCATGCACTTCACTTCAAGCATGTTTCACCGGACTTTTGCCTAAAATTTCAAAACCCGGCAACTTCATTGGCACTTTTCAGTCCTTCATGTCTTCTACGATAGATATTGTTACGGTCTCTTAAACACACAAGGAGCATTTACTTGAGCGGATGTAAAAGAGTGGGATTTGGATGACGTTAGTTGTGAACCCACTTATAGATTACGCAAGCTGAAGAACAGGCGTTTTTGGTAAGAATCTAGTCTGCGATCGCCGGCTTACCTGACGAACGAATCAGAAGTCTGCATACACAGCAGCATTCTGAACGAATCAATCAGAAGTCTGCATACACAGCAGCATTCTTCGATGCCATCACTGTGAAAATGAGAGCACTAGAAAAGTTCAAAAATGCATAAACTTCATATTTTCTCACTTTTGTTATCACCATCTCCGTGATTATTCTACACAAGCCTAAACAACACCCATTAAACTAGTAGGAAATTATACAGACGTAACCTGATACTAATACATTTACTGGAAAAACTTGGACAGTTCATTATCTGTTTCGCCTTCCTTGGGGCTCGTCAAGTGGGCTTAGTCCCCGAGTTGCTGTCAAACTTATGCTCCATTTGAGCCCAAATTGAACAGAATACGACAGATACTCTTATATGCACGGAAACCTGGTTTCAACAGGATACTCACCTGAACCCAGGTTAGGCTTTCGTTCACAGTGTTCCACTTCAAATGAATGTGCCGCCCCAGGCTACCTCATTTTTCAGTTGGGATCTCTTCGACCTACTATGATATATCGGATGCTGTAAGAGCTGAAACATGAGGCAGCCTAGCTGAAGAACATCAAAACCGAGAGATTCAGCCGAGTCTCATGTGAGCTCCCATAAAAATCAAATTGATAAGCCAGTGAGTGTACTTGTTGAGCTGGAAATTATTTGTTTTTAGGACCGGTTAAAGAAATGATACACAGTAGGTAGCGTTCTATCAGGGTATCTGCACTATTTAGAGCAGCAATTTTGTGCACATTTGGTATGAGTGCTTTATTTGTTCTTTGAGAAACTTTAGAGCAGCAATTTGGTGACATTTGGTATGAGTGCTTTATTTGTTCTTTGAGAAACTAACGATCATTTTCTTGCAAAAAAATGTGTCGACGTTAGAGTCGATGAACTTAATGAAGTAGGAAAATTTGTGAACTTGATCCCATAGCAATTGGCAACAAATGGAAGACGAATGTCACTTGAGGCAAAAAACCCGTGACTCTATCACAGACTGACCAATAGATCACGTTCTAAACATTCCATTTGCCATAGCAACCACGCCATCGAATAATACAGAGAACTGCGTGAGCCTTTATGATACGATGGAGCGTTTTTAATTCAAAGATAGGACAAAACTGATTGTTCCAGCACAGCAACTAAACGGTACAAACAAGCTGCCATTTGGATGGGTTGGAAACACCTTCAGTAGAATTACTCGCATTGGTCGAATAGGAAACAATGCAGGAAAATCAATATGCAACACGTATAGAAGAGTATACTCCCAGCAGCATTCTGGCAAGAGCAGGAACAGTGTTCTGTTTAGTATATCAGTTCAAGTCTCGACCGAAGTGTGGCAGTAATGAATTATTAATTTTGTTGAGGCAAGCTCTATATTATTTGTGAGTGGAAGCAATAGGTTCGGAAACATTTTTAGTAAGGGGGTAGTGAGATAGAGGAATAAAAATGATATGACGGAAGCCAACAGGAATGGATAGATCATGTGCATTGTTAGCAAAATACCCAAGTCATTGTAAGTGAAGTAAAACTTCACAGTTATAAGGTGGTGCAAAATAGGTACTTGTGTTTGAGAGCAACTTCACAGCCGCATTGCATCACGACAAGGGTGATTATATAATAGGAGATAAAACTATTCAAATAAATTCGGCTGGCCAAAAGGTGGCACAGACAAGATGATCACCCGTTCAATATGCGGATTTGATATGCCGGTTGTTTTCAATCAGTCAAACAAACTGAGTTTGTTGAACCAGGTGCGAATTAGTTGGGGGACGTGTGAGCCAGAATGGTAGGACCGATACATACTTAGCACCTAGAAAAGTACAAAATTGTTAGCAAATTTCGTAAAACAAAATTATCGCAAACTAGTGAATCATCCGGGAGGTGAAATGGATCCGGGGGATAATGGATAGTTGATTATAAAGAGCAAAGACAACGATCGTTCACAGCGAACGACATACAGGCTGCAAAACCAAGCTGTCTTCGATTGTAGCGTGCCACTGAACCATGTATGTCTAAGTTACAGTTATGTACAAACAGGTAGGATTCATTCAACGTGATGGCGGAGTGGACAAGCGATCAGATGGTGCGTTCTCGCCATCTTCTGGCAAAACAGTTGTTTTACTGAAAAAACCCTCAGGACCGTCGAGAATTGAAAGGAAACAGTTCGAAGATGAAAAGAGTGTAGAATCACCAATCCAAGACGAAGTAATTGTTTCTGAAGAACCTGCTGCACCTGAACTGGACCAAGGTTGTGGGGAGAAAAGAGCACTCGATAGACCCACCGACTCGTATGAAGCGGATGAATAGGGAGTGTTCAAACTGGCGGTTAGCGAAAAATCTAAATCAAGAGGAATAGGCCCACTCGCTTCAACCAATCCATTGAGTGTTTGGAAGTCGAGATCAGATGAGTCTAAATTGAAAGCATCCAATATTGGACTAGAGGTAACTGGGGATGAGTTTAAAGTTGATTCAAGGTTTTTTTGTTCCTCTGAGTTCGAATACTGAGAGTCGCCGGATTCCAGGGGGTGAAGCACATCCGTTAAACCACTCATGTAGGAAAAGCATGACTCATTAGGTGAGGGTTGATGTAACGTGCTATTTCCTGAATCAGACATGCCAGGAATGACTTTGTCGGAATTGCTGGTTTCCAAATGTGCAAATATATCAACTGTATCTTGTCCGGATTCAGTCTGTGTCCACAACGCTGGTTGCAATTCAGCTTCATCTCCATCTGATAGAAAAACTGAAGCCCATTTTGGCATACGTAATCCATCTGGTGATGTGCCTAAGTGGGCTTCAGCCTCACCAGAAGTTGGGTACAGTCGACTAAAGTGCACAGAGTTGTCGGCGCTATCACCACGGCAATTGTTAAAAGAGGATTGTTTGCACGTCTGAGTTTCAACGCGCTTCGGTGTAGAATGACCTTGGGGAGGAATGGAGTGATATAAATGACCATCTGAATGGGCAGTAATACTGGTCCCGGAGAGAGAGGAACCGACGGAACTGGAGGAGGCTGCTGAAGAAGAGCACTCACGTTTGTTCAAACCTCGAGATCGAGGAGACAGGCCGGCCGGCACATACGGTGGTGTGACTCGAGTGCTTGCCCTCGGTAGAAGTCTAGGAAGGCTGCTTGGTGAATCTGACTGAGGGTTTCGAACATCAGAAACTCTCACTGTTTTGCCAGGTTTGGTAATTGGAGGCCAGCTGCAACCGACATCGTCTTCATCCACTAGAGGTATCAGGTAACTGGGACTACCACTCGCCTTAAAATGGGTGTGTGCCCCATTATTATAGCCATTCGAATATGGAGGTCTTTTTGGATGAGTGACACTCAAAGCGGATGTTAGCTTTTCTTCTTTCATACGATCTGGTGTCTCGTTGCCCGAGTCACGAGTGATGGCCCAGCGTGATTGCCTTCTACGTGGCTAAAACATAAAAAGTACAGTGACCGCTTGAAAACACGTCTGTCGAGAATAGGTGACAATAGCTGATAAATTTGTTCCCTGTTTCTACACCTGGCCTGAAAATAAGATACACCTGACTTCTAAATAAGCATCAGTCATGCAAAATGTCTCGAATGGTCTTATTTTAAAACGATTCCTCTCAGGAGACCGCCGTACCTACCGAACACGTTTCGACATCCAATCCACATCAGTATCTAATTACTACGAAAAACTAGGCAGCCAATCCCCTCCATCATTAGAAGGCTACCTACATAACTACTGTTTCATCATAGAGGCCACCATAACCATCCACAAATGTCAACATTATCACCACCACATCATCGGCAGCATAACATCTGTGTTCGACAAATGCTTCGATGCAGTCAAATGTTACCGCCAAACATAATCTAGTAATTATGTTTTCAAGGGCCGTCTACCCCTGAAAGCTACCATAATGATAATAATACTGAGGACTCAAACCAAAGAGTAGTGGTTCTCAGTCCGTCCAAATGTTGAATTTTCAGGTGACGAGTAAACAAAATAGGTTACAACAGGTCTTTCCATCAGAACCTGCAAGAGCTGTTCATCTCTAAAGCGTACACAACCCAACTTTCTACAGCGTCCACGATATTGTTTCTGAAGGGGGCTAGTAAACCTGCATATGTTTTGAATATGAAGAAAGTCATTTACCAAACACTTTTCCTCTGTTCAGATTAGTATAAAGAGTGCATCAGTGCATAGGTATCAAATGCAACCCGTATCAGCTCCAGGCACATAACCTTATGAATGGTGAAAAAGTTTCATGGAATGCATTTGTCGTTGAAGACAATTGCGCGACTAAGTGGCATGCGTTTGACAGCATGCATGGCTAAAATGCTGTACTACCTGACAAGTTTTCTCGGCTTGCCTGAAACTCCTCATATGCCATAGGGACTTGCTAAGACACCGAATGAAAAAAATTGCTTCACTCTTCTCCGAGCATCTTCTGTGCCCCGCAATTGTGCGATGTTTGTGCAATATTTGCACACTGATGACAAAAGTGGAATTACGCTTCAATTTGAATGTTTCTTTTACGTACAACGTTCAAGGTCATGAGGAACAACTACCTGCGGGACGGAAGGGTTCGACTGTGAAAAACTAAAATTTGTGAGGATATATATATATATATATATATACATTACAGCAGAAATATTCGTTTTGTTGCGTTAAAACCATTGTGTCATCAGAAAGGTTGCTTTTGGACATGGAGGTATCAGATGAACAGGTCATTTTCGTAATCGGACCGTTTTACAGTCGAACAAAACACTGCACGAACACTAAAGAGACCAAACTCACCGGTAGTGTTCTTGTGGGAAACTGCTTAACCTTAATTTGATGACGCATCAGGCGTAATCGTTTGTCGGCCTTGCTCTGCGGGTTATCTAGGTAGCCAATGAAACTCTCATGTCCCTCACGCCCACCGTAACTCTCAATAGAAGGAAGTGAGGAACTGGAACGTTGTTTCCTTGATACATCGGTAGCGGCTGATTGTAAGTTTGTCTCTGGACAATGAAGACGTCGAAATTTCGCCTCCCATGTCTTACGGTCAGTTGCTGGACTGATATAACGTGGCAGTGGAGTGTGGTTTCGACGTTTACCATCCGGAGGACTGGCTGTGCTGTTTTGAATTCCACCAAGAATGTTTTGGTCTTCTGGGGTTCCAAGGACATTTTGTGTCCTGACTTCGAAAGGTAGTTCATCACACATTGGATCGAGTTGCTCGTGTTCTGACAAAACCGTGTGACGATAAAGAGGGCTTTTGCGTCGATGAGTGTGGGTGGATTGTGAGCCTTGATTCGGACCAACTGTATCTTGTTGAAAAAGTGAAATGCATGGGGTGGCGTAGGTTGGATCTCTTTCCTGAGAGGTAGGACATGGTCTTATCTGGCTCAGATCGGCAGGCGATACCAGGTGATGTGAAACGACCGGTGGTTGCTGCCGGTAGACAGCCGAGTTGGCAGGCGAAGGTGCTGAGCTCATTGAAAGCGGTGAGGAAGATAGGGAAGATGAGGAGCCAGATAATGGAGAAATAGATTTATGACCACCAACACTCCAAAAATCTGGTGTCCCATAGGCATCTGACTGACCAACTGAGCCAATTAAATTCGCTTGCTGAGCGGTTCCTGGGAGGAAATTTTGCTGCACAAATTGTCCTTGCATTTGTTGTCGTTGTTGCAGCAGCATTGAACGGGGCACAGGAGGCGCCGGTCCCGGAGGTGGAGCCACCCGTTTGCATTTGGCCAAATTGGCCTCCAACCAGTCAGCATGTTTGGGATTGACACGCCAGAATCCACCTTTCCCACGTTCATTCTTGTCTCGTGGAACTTTTTCAAAGCATTTATTCAACGAGAGGTTGTGCCTGACAGAGTTCTAAAAAGATATCAAAGAAAAGTAAAATAAAGATGTCGAAATCAGTATGATAATTAAAGATAGGAACTAAGCGGATCAGTACTTAAACAGGTACACTAGTAACCACTATTACGGTCTGACTAGGTCACAATAACTTTACCTCTTACTCTTCACTGTTTACTGTGAACATGAAGCAACGTCGCAGTAATAGGACAGGATACATGACTGTATTTATCTTAAACCAGAGAATAGCCAAGTTTTAATAAGCCAACCGAATTGAACAGGACAATCACCACCAACAAAGCACACTTAATGTGAATCAGAGTCCCAGGAGTTTATTTCATTTTCCTTTCACAAACCAACAACAAGATGGAAAAAACGAAGTTTATGTATTGTGGACATGAAGAATGACTCCAAAGTAAGCCCAAAAACTGGTCACATCCGACTAGAATGGAGTACCATTCGTACCAGAAGTAAAACAGCATGTTCACTTCTGAGTAACCTCAATCGGTGCCTTAAGTAAACTGAGCGCCCGTAGCATCTTAGCGGCTCGGGTCCTTGGAAAACTAATCCTCCCTAATTTGGCTAATTTGAGCTATTTGGCATTCACCATCAACAGAATTTATGCGGCCTGATATAAAACTACCTAGCTGAATCCTTCAACAAACTGTTGTTCCTAGTTAGCATATTTTAAAACAGTTTCTAGGATAATGTCAGTTAGTTTTAAAAGTCAAGACCCGATTCTACGAACTGAAGACAGTGTCACTGAAAAAGTAGAAGACTTCGCCCAAGACAGAATATTAACCTGCTCGGACCCAAAACCGCTTGTTGAGTTTGACGGAATGCACCAGAAAGCAGGACAGCAGAGACCTTCGGTGAATAATGAGCACTTATTAAACTGGGAACCTGCAAATACAACTGGAGCTTTCCTTTGTGAGCGTAGACTAAATGTACCCTGGAACATGGATTTGAAAGTTACGAAAATCTGGGCGCTGTTGATGCTACCTGATTTCCACTATGTAACCTTGGGACTTCCTCATTTTCCGACTGAATAGGTTGCAACAACTGGCGCCAGAGCTGTCAGTTTCTCTTCAGGTTATTAGTGAATGGTCGTATATTTAGGCCTCGCGGAGCGGTTAGACCCATGATCGGCCTACAGTGCTCGAAACTGGCATCAGAAGTAGACCTGCATACATGCAGCTTTCGCTTCATACCACCGGGGTAGATCCGCCGCAATTTGCGACACCAAAGAGACCCGTTCATACCCTTATGAGACAGTCATAGTAAAGTTTTTTTAGTAGACTACGATAGCTTTTTAGAATTTCACTTACGAATCGGCTTGAAAAGGGTAGCAAATGATAGCCATGTGGGTAAGGACATAAAGGTCACTGGTACAAAAAAGGCATCGCGACCGTTCTTTGGGACTTTGCATGCGTAATTCTTGTTTTTGTCCGATTTATAGCTTCCTGTTTTGGGTGATTCATCTATTCTGGCACAAACTACCACTTGATTATTGGTTTACCACAGATCTACTACAGTGTTAAGATTTCACTTGCTAGCCCTATCACAATTGCAGTGATTTTTCCAAATGTGCCCTATTTCTATAAGCTAGAAAAAGTAGGAGTGCTGCGTTGGATGGATCTAAGTTCAGCATGCCTTTCTGTGTCAGTACTATTGAATATGTAACAACTTCATACCCCAAAAGAAAGAGCGCTTAGCCAACATGAACTAGATCAGAATGGTCTCTGAATCAAGCGGCATCATGTGTAGCACCAACCAAGTTTAACTACTTTCATCAGGAGTGTTGGTGGCTTCGTACAGATTTTGTACGTTGTTTACAATGTTCGTTCGACCGCCGTCATACCAGTGTGCGCGGACGGCACTTCGACTGGTGGCAGAGCACCTGCAATCCAAATGCCAAGTTCAACCAGCAAACAAAAAACAAGTCGTGTTTCCAACCAAGCTACTCTTATCCCTCAATATTGCCGATAACATGCTGTGTCTGAATAAATTCATCTCATGATAAGTTGGACTCCTCTATCTCTCTTAGTTTAAAGTTAGTTCCTTATTTAACGTACAAAGACTGACGGTACTGATCAGCAGATCGACCATGCTACAAAATCTTACTTTAGCTGATGGCCTAAAGCCAACATTCATCAAGAAAGTACCTCCATACGGTCTAATGTAATGTCATGGAACAGTCAACGTCGGCTCACCAGTCAGACTGGACTATGAAAATTTAGATTACTTCCACCAGCACCTGAACTTCTCCGTGCACGTTGAGATAAAAACAAGTTAATTTCAACGAAGATGAAACAGGTGAAACAGAACAGATTTGGACGTCAGGAGGATTAAGCGTCTTAAAATGACAGTGACCATCACTCTTAAAATAGGGTAAAAGTGAAAACGGTCTTGGTTGGTTGAGTTTAGTGGTAAGAGGTATAACTATATTTATTCCACTGAAGCTCACAAGGAAGGAAAACAAAGTTGGATAGGGCAATCCAAACGACTTCGCCTGACGTCTCCTTCGACAAAGCAGAAGGAGTTCGTGATCCCTTCTCTGTAGTCTACAAAACTGTGGCCACACCGGTGCATTGACGACACTGTCAGAGACAGGATGATAATCCGATATCATTACGTAATCCGTATTGAACAACAGGTATATCAAACATGGAATGTAGCAAACACCTGTAGTTGAAATTCATCGGTGGATCGTTCACTAAAGACAAGTATTCACTAACGATTCAAAATATATACAACAAGCGAAGCCATCGTTTCGCTTTTGCATTATCGGCGTGGTGAATCTTAGGCTTGAAGCAAGACAGCTTACAAAAATACATGACAGTATGGTTTCGCAAGAAAACCAATCTACGACATTCTCAACCTGTATACGCCGCTTATGCATCCGAAAAAACGTGGATAGATTGAATGCGCCTGCTGGCTCACATCTTTTGTTCACTAATCCCGAGCGTCTGTGACATATTCACGCATGGCTAATTGATGTGAGATTGATTGCTGCAGTTAATTGCAGCCCTCTGTCACCGGAACCCGTATTTTAAAACGCCGTTCAAATATTTTCACGCGGAAGGCGACCACATCTATGGGTTCGCATTGTTCACGCTGCTCAAGCTGGTCATGAAATGCATGAACCTTCGATGCGGGTTGATTACTAAACTCGAGTTACGACAGATGGTAAAAAGGTAGGAAATTAAAACCACACCAGGGTGTGAACCAAGAGGTGTTCCATAAAAATGAAATCCGACCGAAAACAGCCAAATCTTAGAGTTGCGGTAAAAATGATTTTGCTACCAAAATACCTACATACTCAACTCGGGTTGGCAGAAGTCTCTTTAAATAATCATGCAGATTTTTTGATGTGTAATCGTCCCTTCCATTCATTCCTCAATAGCATGACGCTGGTGCGGGTTGTCAGCCGACCGTCTAGTTCTAGTTGCTTGCATTCGCATCAATATCGCTTGAACAACCCTACTCCTGTGCTTGTGCAAGTCTACCGTTAAATCTACACCAAACGGAGGGAGCATTGAACTAGAGTTTGGCTCTCAATAAGGCTTCTCAGTAATGTACATCTTAGGCCATATAGAGAGGTGAACCTTGAACATTTGAAATGCGAAGTGACCAGGTTAGCACAACTTTGCCTGTATAAGCTGGGCACACATGAATTAAAATGTGTGAACTCACCAGAATAATTGCCTATAAGAAGAAGATGGTCTGCTTGAGCAAGAGTAATGCTATACAGATTCTCCAGGTTTCGCAACCGCCCATAACGAACACAAATTTGTCCGGTGTTTTTAAAGTTCTCATGGCATGTCTGACTGAGCATCCTTCACAGGTGCAACGGCACCTCGACACATTGAGGGCAGTTACTGGGTTGTCACCCGAGGCCTTGAAGAACCAACCACACAGCCCACGTGTCAACACGTTCGCCTGATCAGTCATGATAATTCACGTGCGTTCAAAATGCCCTGATGGGAGATTGGTGGCAAGTTCAAATCCAGGCACTACTGATGAGCTGTCATTAGAGAGTAACGAGTCCAGTGCATGTTCTCTACTCACCAAAATAACGGTGTAACACGGAGAGGACTGTTTGAGCGTGGTTCATATAAAGTGAAAATCAGTTCCTTAAGGTTCAACCATGTTAGGACGTCCAAAGACGGACAGCGGTTTCCAGCGTTACGGGAAACAGTGAGGCGAGGCATCTTGATAGGTAAGAATATTGTTCACCTCAGCAGGACTGAGAAGTCAGCCTCTCCATACGTATGAAAGCAGGTATACCTCCCCATGGATGGGTTGGTGGAAAAGGGCTCTAAAATCAGCACACGTTGATCAGTGAACGACTGCCTGCAACCGTTGGTATATTGGCGAGATGGTTCAGAGAACTGAAGAGTCCAGATTCCGACGTTAATAAAAAAGTACTTGAAGTACGCAGTAATGTCAAACGTCAGACTTTTATGCCTTACCGCATCCACCCCTGGGTTAGAACATCCACCAGATATATTCAAACTAAACTGTCGACGGAAGCGAAACCAGTTGGAGAAAGACTTGTCTAACTCAATTTAAAAGAGTAAGCTGTCGTTATCCACAACAACAGATATGACAGATCCAACACTCTGTAAGCAACCTATGAACCCAGGGTCCGTGACTCCGCAAATACGTAACAGTGGGTCGTAAAAGCAAACAGTTGCAATAATACGCAAGTTACTGTTGACACAAGGAACCTTCTACTACAATGAAATAAACTCATTATCATCATCATCATCGACACCATAATATCGGTGTTCAACATTGATGCTTCATTGCCGTACAGCCATGATTTATTTGAAAGCCTTATTGTAAAGAAAAGAATAAAGGTAGACGGGGAAGGGACTCAGTGCTAGCTCACTAAAATCAGTCCGAGGTGCCTACACCTCCAGCCATTCCCTAAGACAATCTGGATAGAAAATGATAACAAGAACGCCACTGACATCGGTTGGCAGCCACATCTTGTTGTGTCTTCAACCAGC